GCTTTTGGAGAAGGACCGCGCCTAGGCCAAATGAGGATGCATCTGCGGATACGATGGTCTCTCGATTAGCATCATAGTAGGCTAGTATGGCATCTGGGTTGCTCAGCTCCCTTTTCACCTCAGAGAACGCTTTTGCTTGTGCTGGTCCCCAGTGCCAGTTGCTTTTGGTGCTTAGCAAGTCACGTAGAGGCTTTATCAGGTCGGACAGATTGCTGGAAAATCTTCGCTGATGTTCGTAGGTTCTTTCATTTCAAGTATCGCTCTAACCTTGTCAGGGTCTGGCTGAATTCCCGACGAGCTGATAACTTGGCCAAGGTAGGTAACCTTCTCTTTGGAAAACTCACACTTCTCTTTGTCGAGTGTTACTCCAGCTTCCTTGATTCTCTCTAGTGTTGCCATCAAACGTTGATGATGTTCCTCTTGCGTCTTTCCCGTAATCAGGATGTCGTCGATCATGCACAAAGTTCCTTTCAAACCACTGAGCTTCTCTGACATCCTTTTCTGAAAGTACTCGGGGGCTGACGTGATTCCAAATGGAAGTCTGTTAAAGTAGAACCGACCATACGGTGTCATGAACGTGGTTAGCTCAGCAGACTGTTTTGAAAGTTGGATCTGGTAGAACCCTGAATTGGCATCCAGCTTGATGAAGACTTTACCTCCATCCAATTGAGCAAGAATGTGTTCGACGGAGGGAAGGATGTGTCGCTCCCTGCGTACACAGTCATTTAGCTTAGTGAAATCGACACAAATGCGAACCTTGCTATTTTGTTTTGGCACTACCACCATAGGAGCGCACCAGTCGGTGGGCTTGTCGATTCTTTCGATCATTCCCTCGCTCTCCATTCTATCCAATTCTTCTTTTACTTTGTCCATTAGGGGAAGAGCAACCCTTCTCGGCGTCGTAACTGCATATGGCTTTGCATCTTCCTTCAAATCGATATGATATTCACCATCCAGTTTACCAAGACCTTTGAATACTTGCGGGAACTTCTCAACCAGGTCTTCTGTTGATACTTGTTGGATGACTGATACGATATTGAGTGCCTCTATTGCTGGTCTACCAAGCAACGGAATTCTCAGTCCCTTGACTACATAGATCACCTGCTCCGCTGACTTGTTTCCAGTTGTGAGTTTCGCGAGGAAAGAGCCACTGACATTCAGTTGACTTTTGCGTGGCCCTGTTAAGACTTTGTTTGTTTCTTTCACAGTGACATTCAGCTTCTTAACTTCTGACTCAGGTATAACAGTGACATCGGCCCCAGTATCAACTTTGAATAAAACTTTAGTACCGTTTACTGCTATTGGGATCTTCCAAGGATCTGTTCCAAYRTTGTTTATCTCAGTTGAACTGATCACGCMGAGGAATGTATCACTGTCGTCGMTGYCCTCAAGGGCATCTACATCGGCTCCTCCGGATCTACACATGGCTTTGTAGTGTCCCTTTTTCTTACATTTGAGACATTTCGCATCCTTAGCTGGACACATGGAACGTGCATGGCCTGGATACTTTCCACACCGACCACATTTCTTTGGGCCTTGCGTTGAGCCTTGTGTGGTTTCTGGTTTGCTTTTGGCTTGTTTAGGACTTTTCCTTTTACTCGGCCACCCTTGTGTACTGCTTCCACTACCTTTGGTGTGACTGTTGACCCATCAGTACCTCTGACCACCGACTGTTGCTTCTTGACGAGTTCACTCTGCCTGGTCGTGTTGACTGCCTGTTCTAGAGTCAATTCTGGATTCAACTGAAGTTTCTCTGAAAGACGAGAGTCCAGTAAACCAACGACAATGCGATCTCTGATCATCTCATCATGAAGGAGAGCATAGCTACAGTGTTTTGCAAGACAATAAAGATCCATAATGAAAGCATCAACCGACTCTCCGGCTTCTTGTTTTCGAGTGTTGAATTTTGCTCTTTCGAAGATCATGTTTCTGCGTTTTATGAAGTGGTTTTCAAACTTCGCTTTCACTTGGTCGAACTTCTTTTTGTTTGCTTCAGATAAGTCGAATGTTGACATGATATCTTCGCTTTTTTCCCCCATTGAGTATAAAAGGGTACTCACTTGTGTCTCTTCATCTCTTGCTTTTAGCCCCGAGGCTAAACGGAATCTTTCGAATCTTTGAATCCACTGGTCCACTGTTCAGGATGAGTGAAATCAAACTCTCCCGGTGGCTGGATTTGATATGAAGAACTTCGCAACGATGAACTTGACGAACTTGAGGTTTCTGTCACATTTCCGATCAAAATCTGGAAATATTTCGAAAATATTCTTGATGTGGCTTCTTTAGTAAACTAACTTCTGACACCATGTAATATTATCGCCGGATGGTCTAGTTTACTCAGTATAAACAACGRATTGTGAACGAGCTTAACAGCTTTAATGACGCCATTTTGTTCGTTGTCACACAACACAGGAAAAACGGCACAGGGTGCCCAAACACTACAGCTACAATAAATAAAATTGAAATAAATAACTAAACGAAATATACGAAAAAACTAAGCGAAATATACTTACATATGTAGCGTCTTCTACAAGACATTAACATATCGAACTAAGCAAAACTAAGAACGAAACACACAGGACACTGGCGAACAAGGATGCGTAATAAACAGAAACGAAAGACGGACAAAAGATGATAACCAAAATATAAAACCAAAATAAGTACATTAAGTCATTAATAGACTATTTTTGACCACTACACATTGCCTACACACCGTCCATTTGATTTAATAAGTAAAGTCAAGTAAGCAAATGTCTCTTAATTGTGTGTACGCACATGATCATGTCTCACTAATAGGCAAATTTTGTTGATCGGTCTTGTCAATTTGGAATCATTTGTCATCACTTCAGCGTATCTGAAGTTCATCAGAGCACTGAGGAGATTCGTAAGCAGAAGGGGAACGCCAAGGGTAATAATATCAGACAATGCCGCGACATTCAAAGCAACATCAGCGTTATTGGGAGAAACACAAAGCATAATCGAAGCTGAAGGTTCACAGAAATACTTAGCTAGTCACGGAATCTCCTGGCGTTTCATAGCAGAAAGAGCCCCCGTGGTGGGGAGGGTTCTATGAAAGACTTGTAGGACTGACCAAGCGCTTCTTAAAGAAAACTATCGGCAAAGCATGTCTTGGATTCGTCGAGCTAAACACTGTCTTAACAGAAGTTGAGGCTGTGCCGAACAGTCGACCGCTCACATATACATACTCAGACATCGAAGATGGTCCTCCTCTTACCCCCTCCCACTTCTTGTGCGGTCATCGTTTATTGACAATACCAACCACACACCCACTAGACGAGGACTCAGACCCAGACTTCCTATCGGATCACAGCACGAAGTCAGATCTGTCAAAGAGGATGAAATACTACGAAAGACTGATGGGTCAATTTTGGCAGCAATGGAAAAAAGAATACCTAAGTGGACTTAGGGAGTTCCACCGCCACAACAAATCGGAACTTCAACAGTCAAGCATTGTGCAGGGTGACGTTGTCCTTATCCATGACGACACGTCAAGGACTCGCTGGAAGCTAGCTGTTGTGACCGAACTTATACCTGGACGTGTTGGACGAGTAAGGTCCGGCCATTTAAGAACAGCCAACGGAAAAATATTGGTCCGTCACGTCGAGAAGCTCTACCCATTGGAGATTCGAGAGAAGCCCGAATATAAAGCTAACTCGGAGAACATGGAGCAGTCTGATAACAACCTGAGACCACCGCAACGAAAAGCTGCAAAGGAGGCTTGCGAAAAACTTAAAGAACGTTTAAAGGACTCATAAAATAGCATAAAAAGTGACATTTTTCTAACTTTGTTAACGCGCGATTTCCGTTCATTGAATTGTGTATTACTAAGTTGAGTGGTCTTTGTGGCCCCCGGAAGATGTTGTAAATGTCGGGCTTCCTATGCCCAATTAGCGTTTTGAGACGTCAGTATTGTTAGAGCGCGCGAATATGAGATCAATAAAACTGTGTCAGGGAACTAAAACATTACATTTCAACCAAAAATGTTAACTCAGTGCTACAGGTAAACTAAGTATCCAGGCAACACTGCCATTTACAGGCCTAAAAAAAATATAATAACGTACAATTACAGTGGCCCAAGCAAATGGACGCAAATGGAGTTCCCTCGTCGCTTATATTCATCGAATCTCTAAAATGCGCTCGACTCTAACGTGGCATATATAGTTTTCACTGACACTGTGTTGTGTGTTTGGATACTAACTATCTAGCATTTCAGTTAATGATTACAATCGTGTAAGATTTATTTTTGTTTTAACGTCAACTAAATGTCATCGCATGTCCTTCAACGTAGATATCTAAATGGGATTATAGTGCTTCATGCTGAGAAAATCTCTATCGACCAAAGCTCGTCATGAGTGGTGTCTAGACCACTACGGCCTACCAACAAAGATATCAGCGCTTATTAAGAACATCATGAAAAGCTGGAGGATCACCTTAGATGTACAGACTAAAGATGGAAGAGCCAAAATTGGTCCAATCACTTTAAACAGAGGGATCCTACAAGGAGATTCATTCTGCGTACGATTATTTACAATGTGCCTCAATCCCATTGCGTGGAACCTGCGAAACAACGAAGGCTACGTCCTCACCAAACCACCAGAAACTAAAATAACACACTTACTCTATGTAGACGATTTAAAAACCTTCCACAAATCGCCCACTAAGGCAATGGCTGAAACACGAAAGATGGAACAGATGTTCAAACTATAGGTCTGGAATGGGGACTGGACAAGTGCTCAACAGTAAATGTACAAAGAGGGAAAATAATACCATCTCAATGTTGAATGCCGATGACCAATACAAGTTTCTGGGTAAGTTTGAAAACTTTTCCCACCTCGATAAAATAGCATTTGAACACTCAAGCAAAGAATATATAATGCGACTAAGCGTAGTATGGTCCTTCAACATTTCCATCCCTAGGAAAATCAAGGCGACAAACACCTTTGCCATTCCGATCCTACAATATCATGTGGACCGCCGACTGGCTGATAAGTGACCTCAAACAATTAGACCGTGAAACAAGAAAAATCATGCAAGACAGTGGAGCACTGCACACCCAGGAGTCTATTTTAATATTTTAATATTTTTAAAAGCTCATGTATCTACCAACTAACATGGGAGGAAAAGGCCCGAAACAAAAAATAGAAACATTATACAAGCTCACAAAGATCAAAGTGGCCAACTACATTGTTAGAAATCAAGATCAAAGAATAACAGCTAGTTGGAAAGTTTGAAGAGAAGAAAACTGCCAAGAAGCTTAAGTCAGTCTTGAAGGACGCACCGAAATATGCGGATGAACTCAACATCAGATGTCAATTTGATCAGACATTAACAACTATGACGTATGAAAACACCACAACTGAGTACCAAAAACCAGCACCAAAACTACTTACAGCATTCCTAGCTAACGCGATCGTAAATAACCTGAAGAAAGAGGTAGAAAACCAGAACTGGCTTGGCGCGTTGACGCTATTACAGTATAGTGACAACGGCATCTCACCAGAAAGTACAGCTATACACTACAAATGGCGTAACATCCCTGATATACTCTATTCTGTGAATTCCAACATACGCCAACAATTGCTACCAACAAAGGTGTACAAGAAAGTCAAATTACAGCAACCAAACCAAGGTACAACCTGCAGAATGTGTGAACAAATCCAAGAATCCACACGACCCACATCATGTGCGGGTGCGCAACAACGGCCCAAAGCTTATATAAGTCACGACATGATAAAATTCTAAGACCATATTATCACTATCTACTCTATAAATATGGATTTGAAAACAATGACCATACAAGACCTTGGTATGAACAGAGCCCACCCATGGCAGTAATCGAGAACGAAAGAGCAAAGATTATGTGGGATATAGAGTTCCATCTACCAAGAGCACCTCAAAACCATGCAAACAAAATATACATGGCAATTAATGACAAGAAAGGGCAAGTGTGGCTGCTGTTAGAGGGAACAATCTGCGCTGTTGGCAAGATAAAGGAAAGAAGTACTTTCAAGCAAGACATTCAAATACCGTGAACTGCGAAGTGGGATAAAACAACTGTATCCCAACCATCAGATTACTCAAATGACCATAGTGTTTGATTTTTTAAGCGACTACTATCACAACCTTAAAGCAGAGATCATTCAAAACATCACAGCAAGTCAAGAAGAGGCACACTATTTATTACTTAAAAGTCAGAAGTGGATAATCTCACAAATTGCCGAAATCGTTAAGAATTTCTATACTTATGTATACGAATAAAAATGTAGCGGGTTTAAGGATGGGAATAAAGACTGAACGAGACATTTATTAAAAACAGCTTAGCCAAGGCTATTCGCCCGCAAAGTTGCCAATTTTCAAAAAGAAATTCAATAAAGGTGTCAATAATAATAAAAATAATTTTCCAAGTATAAAACGCTTGAAATTACACAAGTCAAAATCAGAACTATACGAAAACGTTTGATGCTGAGCTAGCTGCTTAAAAAAAGATACAAATTTTCACTCGATGTTACTTGTTAGTTTCCTTAAGGAAAAAGTAAATCAAAAGAAATTTCAATGGACTTGACGACTAGTAAGGAGTATTATTCTGAAATCAATATCACTGGTTTACCACTCAGATTAGTCTCTATAAAAAAAAAATCCGACAAAAACCGGTATCTGCAAAACCCGTTGTACCAATAGACTATATATTGTACTCAAGTCCGAGCATAATTTTTTGATATACTTGTAAGTGTTCCTTATTCTAAAACTCACTTTGACACTGTAGTGGTCAACATTTGAATTCTGTTTGAGATGGTCTTTGCTGTTAAACTGATCGGATGAAATAAGCTCACAAACGTGTCGACCATTGTTTTGCCTGGGCGTACTTCTGAAGTTCACCGAACGGCACCAGTGTGTTGCAATACAATCAAAAACACAATCCGTTTTGCCGTCTACTTGGACCGATCGATGCATCGCATCTTTCATATCTTGTGATAAAATGAGCTCTTGTTTTGGAAAAAAGTCAAAAACAAGACTTAAAGCTCGATTGGATGTGGCAAGGGTTGAAGCTTTGAGCCATGAAGCTGTTATATTCAATAGAACTAGCTCAAGGAGAACATAGTGGAGATAATCCAGCCACATGGCTGTGATAAATAGAATAGATCCTTACATATGAAACACACCCAAGTACTTTTTGGCATATTATGTCTAACTCTTTAGTCTTAAGATCACCTGTTTGCAATTCAGTTTTACGGACCCAATCGCTGAATTGTTTATAATTATTGTTTGTCTCATTTAAAGATAGGTCAAGCTCGCGACAATAGTATTGGAATATACGTAGAGTATAACAAATAGAAAAATGTGATTTAGAATAAATACTCGAGACTTCAATATGGAAAAATTTGGGAAATGTTTAGACAATGTTTGCAAAGAAAGTCTCTACCAGGCAAGTTAGATATTGTTAATTCGCATTTGCTWCCTTGTAAATTGTTATTTTCGTTATAATTTTGAGCAGCTGCAAAGACATAAAGGGAAATAATTTTAATATATCAAGCTTTTTTAATTTTCTGAAAATAATATTTAACACMGAGTTGCAAAACATCATTATGTAGAGTTTTAAGTGAAGTTCTCCTTCGTGATCAAGGTAATTTCTAAAACTCATTAATATTTTTAATGTATATCTATATTTCTCATTAAAATGATGTCAGTAACCAACTCCCAATCAAAAACTTGTCACAGCATTTAACTCATGAGAACGGCTCATCAAACTAACAGTGCGGGGCTAAATAAGGAGGAGAGTGGGGAGTGCGGTTCTTTTATTAAAACAATTAATGTAGGGCTGATTACTTGAGCTAGTGGTCAGCAAGCCGTACCAGTTGTCAGACTGTTTTTTGAACCGTAATAAAACAGTTGCAATGGCTGCAAATAATGCTATTTGGTGAAACTATGATCAATGATAATCAATTTATGAATAAATATTGAATGTTTCTAGTAGCGTCCTTCATTTCAGTATGAAGAACTTTTGTAGACATTGCAAAATTAAAAAATATACAGAAAGTTATGCACAAATTGATAAAATCATGAAAGCTTCTTACATAATTTTCATTAAAAAATGAAACTCACTCAATATTTTAATATTTAAAACTCTTTCCCRACTTTCCCTTGAAATTTAGGTCGAATTTGACCTATGTGTGTAAAGACTGTAAGCTACCGATATAATAAGCTATAGCCCTGAAGGTTCTCTTACGAACTAACTAGTAGATATTGTCGATCTTCCAGTTCAATGAAWTTTGGAAAAAGGAAAAAAGGCACAAGGCAGTACTCTGCTTTGAAATGAATGCCAAAATTTGCCTTGAAGGACCGCAGGAAACGCCGATTTATCTCTCAAATTTGATTGGACTATATGCGTAGAATACCAAAAAATAGAAAAATGGGCTTTGGAATAAATACTCAAGACTTCAATATGGAAATGGAGGTTTAGACAATGTTTGCAAAGAAAGTCTCTACCAGGCAAGTTAGATATTGTTAATTCGCATTTGCTTCCTTGTAAATTGTTATTTTCGTTATAATTTTGAGCAGCTGCAAAGACATAAAGGGAAATAATTTTAATATATCAAGCTTTT